ATGGTTGGCTTAACTCACAATTGGTTGCCTTGAGTACAGCTCTGAACATCCATGTGTGGTTGGCTTTGCTGACCTAGCTAGGACGTTTCCCATCCTTCTCTAGCCTTTCTCCCCTAGGACTCAACATTCTCTGAGTTCCCAGGATGACCCAACCCCTAGGCAATGTTGTACTCACCTCTTCCTTGCATCAATGAGACTACACGTTTTTCAGCCGAGCTTACGTTTTAGTTCACTGCGTAGAGCACACACCTCTGATAATAGCAAATAATATACCGTTGGAAAGCAGACACCTAAGGCTAACCGCTGTCCAAGTTTCAGTTTCATGTGTTATCGGAGCTGATCGTGACGGCGTTTTGAACAGAGGCGGTTTGAAGGCGTCAGATTCTGCTTAGGGGGTTTCATGGGCATCCGCAACCTCTAAGTGGACTCTTGACTATAACAAGTGGTATCAGAGCTGTTCTACTCTGTTCTTGGGTGAATATGGAGGCTGAAGGTTCTGCTCCAGCTGGTCCCAGTGGCAGTGGTGGCGTGAGAGGCGCTGGGGAAGCGGGAAGAGGCGTTGCTGGCGGATCTGCACCAATGGCTTTCGTTTCAACATCAGCTAAGGATGATGTGAAGGCATTCAACCTGGAGAAGTTCTCTGGGGAGGATTGGGCATCATGGAGCTTCAGGATGGAGCTCCTCTTCAACCATTATGGGCTGCTTGAAGTGATGGATGGAGAATTGAAGAGGCCTGCGAGTGAAGGAGCGACCAAAGAATGGGATCGCCGGTCCAAGGATGGATTCTTCCTTCTCTCCCAATGCCTCTCATCCAACCAGCTGCACCACATCAAGCATCTCATCAAGGAAGTTGAGTGTGGTCCTAAGGCATGGAAGATATTGAAGGATGTCCATGCCCCCAGCAGCGAAGCTATGGTGGTGGTGCTCGAGCGACAACTCCATGCGGTGAAGATCAACGAGGGTGATGCCGTACAAGGAGCATTCGATCAACTCAGGGACCTCTATGTGAAGCTCTCTGCTGCTGGTGTGGACTACCCTGAAAAAATCAAGTGCTACAAGGCTCTCTCCCTGCTGCCGGAGTCGTGGGGGCCCTTGGTGGTCAACCTTAATGGCATGAAGGACTCGTGGTCCCTTGAGTGGATTCGCGCGCAAGTTCTTCAAGAGGAGTTTCGGAGGAAGGAGCTGACCGCCGCTGCCGGTGAAGGTGGAGGTTCAGCCTACGGCATGAAGGGCTTCAAGGGGCGTGGCAGCAAGAAAGGCAAGGCCAAGGAAGGCTCTGGAGGGGAGCAGCATTTGGGAGGGAAGCGTGGCAACAAGGGAGGCAAGCGGTGTGGCGGCAAGTGTTGGTATTGCCATGTGGAAGGGCACCCATGGTTCAAGTGCCGCAAGCTACCTGACGGCTGGAGGCCTGGTCAGCCATCAATTGAGGGCTCCAAGGGTGTTCATGGAGCTATGGGAGAAGGCGTGGGCAGTGAGGAGGGCGATGGAGGTGCTGGCGGATACGGCGGCATGTTCTACCATGTAGGAGAGGCGTGCTCCGAGGACATGGTTGTGCCGGCCAGCAAGGTTGCTCTTCACCGCTCCTCCCATTGGGTCATCGACACGGGAGCCTTCATGACCATGACCAACCGAGAGGATCTACTGGATGAAGTTAGGCCATCAAAGGCAGCCACTGTCGTTTCAGCCACCGGCCAAGTTGTACCCGTGCGTGGCGAGGGGAGAGCCATGTTCATGGGTGCGGATGGGAGGCTTGTGGGGCTGAAGCGTGTTCTCCTTGTTCCTGGATTGTGTGCCAACCTCCTCTCTACCAAGGCCCTAAGTGAGGCAGGGATGAAGATGGAGATGTTGGGCACAAAGGTTTTCAAGGCAACTCTGGATGGGCGCGTGTTGTGGGACCTCCGAGGCGGCAAGGACATGCACCGGTCCATGTGGGAGACTCCGGTGCTGCCATGGAAGGAGGCGGCTGCACGCTTGGCTGCTGGAGGTGTGAGAGGAGGGCGTGTTAACCACGTGGACAATGGAGGAGGTGGTGATGATAGTGATGGTGGGCTCCTTGGGCATGGAAGGGCTGAGTTACCAAGTGTAACTCCTAGCACGGGTGAGACGGATTGGCTCACCGCACACCGTCGCTTTGGCCACGTGGCGCTTCCTCAGTTGCAGCAGCTGTTCAAGGAGGAAAGAGTCAAGGGGCTGATGATAAAGGGGGAGCCCAAGGAGGTGGGACCTTGTGAGACTTGATTGACCAGCAAGTTTTCACGGTTTCCCTTCCATTCGGTGGAGGGGAAGTCGAGTGACCCAGTGGAGCTCGTGCATGTGGATCTCGTGGGACCCATGAAGGTGAAGGGAGATGGTGGGGCCCTGTATTCCATGACCATGGTGGATGAAAACACAAGGCTCACCTGGTCCTTTCCACTTGCAAAGAAGAGTGATGCTGCAAGGGTCATCATTGAAGAGTGGCTGCCCATGGTGGAGCGAGAGAGCGGCAAGCGGGTGAAGGCGATTCGTAGCGACCGTGGTGGGGAGTTCTTGGGAGCGGAGTTCCGGAGCTGGCTGAAGCGGCACGGCATCAAGCAGCAGCTCACCACGGCCTACACCCCTCAATCCAATGGCGTGGCAGAGAGAGCGAACCGAACCATCTTGGAGGGCGGGAGAACGATGTTGGTAGACTCGGGTCTACCCTTACGATTCTGGCCCCTCGCTATTCGCCATGCCACCGTCATCAAGAACCGAGTATTGACTCATGTGGGAGGGTAGCATTGGGTCCCTATGGAGAAGTGGAGAGGCAAGAAGCCCTGGTGGATATGCTTCGAGTCTTCGGGTGCATGGGACTCGTGCACGTCCCTAAGGAGAAGCGTGACAAGCTTCAAGCGGCGGCGGTGTGGGCTGTTCATTTGGGACTTGCACAAGGGAGCAAAGGGTGGCTCATGTGGGACCCAAAAGCCAACACCATCTTCACCACCAGAGATGCCAAGTTCATGGAGGGGCTCATGTTCAAGGAGTGGTTGGAGCGAGGGAGGAGCAAGGTCACCATTCCGCTCGGAATAGAGGTGGGAACGAACGATCCACTCCTCATTCCCATCGAGTTGTCTTCATCTTCAGAGGTAACGGAGGTGTCACATGACTTGGGAGGTGCTTAAGGGGAGGCAACAGAGGTGGAAGGAGTGTTGCAGCAAGAGGAGGCCCCTGTAGCTGAGAGATGTGATGCCGGGGAGGAGGTGCAGCAGCCAACATCATCCCCTTCACTTCCATCAAGGCGGACAACCCAAGGGAAGCGTGGTGCTGTCCGCGGTGGAGTTAAGGAGGGTGCAGCCAAGGAGAGGCCCAAGAGAGCTGCTCACCCAAGGGATTTCCTCAAGTATGAAAGGCTTGGGGGTCCTAAGGCATTGCTGGTCCAGGGGGAGGAAGATGATGAGGAGAAGGGAGCCGAGGGAGAGATGGAGCAGATTTGTTGCTTCGGTGTCAACTTACCTCATGAACCGGCTTCAATGGAGGAAGCACTTGCTGGAGATGATCGAGAGGCTTGGTTGGCTTCAAGGGAGGATGAGTTTCAGAGCCTCATGGAGAATGGAACATGGACCCTCACTGATCTGCCCCCTGGAAGAAAGGCATTGGATTGCACGTGGATATTACGTGTGAAGACCGATGCGGAGGGGAAGTTGGAGAGGCGCAAAACAAGACTTGCGATCAAGGGCTTCCAGCAGAGGGAGGGGGTTGACTTCAAGGAGGTGTTTGCTCCTGTTGCTAAGGCTCCTACGCTCCGGGTGCTGCTAGCAGCAGCTGCTGTTTGTGGTTGGAAGGTGGAGCAAATGGATGTGAAGACGGCTTTCCTCTATGGCGTGGTAGATGAGGAGATCTACATGAAGCAACCAGAGGGGTATGACGATGGGAGCGGACGTGTTTGCAGGCTCAACAAGGCCCTCTATGGCCTCAAACAAGCTCCAAGGTGCTGGTATGCAAGGCTGATGGAGGCGTTGGAGGCTCTTGGCTTCAAAGTCAGCGGGTGCGACGAGAGTCTCTTCATGACCGAGGGGGAGGAGGAGAAGGTGTTTCTCCTTGTCTATGTCGATGACATTCTCCTCTTCTCTCCATCTCTAGAGAGGATCAAGGAGGTGCAAGGGAAGCTGAAGGAGACCTTTCAATGCAAGGCCCTTGGACCGGTGGGGTATTACCTTGGTCTTCACGTGGAGAGGGACGAGGTGAAGGGATGGTTGAGGCTTCACCAACACAAGTACCTTGCAGCCATGGGGGAGAGGTATGGGCTGGAAGAAGGGAGGAGTGTGAAGACTCCTCTACCCTCAGGGTTTCAGCTACACCTTGATGAAGAGGAGGGTGAGGTGTTGGAGCCCGAGTTGCAGCGTCGGTTCCAGTCAATGGTGGGGAGCTTGATGTATGCTTCGGTCAACACTCGCCCCGATATTTCATTCGCGGTTTCACAGCTGGCTCGTGTGGTGTCTAGGCCCCTTCAAGAGCACCTTGATGCAGCAGAGAGGCTGGTGAGGTACTGCATGGCAACCTCAAGGGTGGGGCTGCAATATTCAGTGCATGGGCAGCTGAAGCAAAAGGGAGTGGAGGAGGTGAGCACGAAGACCGGTGCACCTGCGAGGCGTGGACACTTGTACCTCTCGTGCTTCACCGACGCTACATGGGCAAGTGACATTAGTGATGCAACATCCCATGGTGGCTATGTATGCTGTGTTGGAGGGAGTCCAGTGAGCTGGAAGTCTAAGAAGCAAGGGGAGATAGCTCACTCATCAACGAAGAGTCTGGTTGGACAGCAGACGACACGAGCAGGGGGCAGACTCAGGACCAGACCTGGACGCCGCAGCAAACACCTGACTCGACGCAACTACCTGGGCAGACTCAGCAACCGGAGGAGACTCAGTAGTAAGGGTGTACAGGCTCGACCCTGGTCGACGGGTGAACGTGGCCAAGTGTCGGCCTATCCGAGCACACGTGCAGTGGGTCACCCGCTGACTCGCAGGAGTGAACTGGTCAAACCCTCAATCCTGTAGGTCCACTCCACTCACCAAGTTCGTAGAGAACGAGGGGAGGTAGAGACCAAACAGGGTGCCAGAGGGGGCTGCCGGGCACGGAAGGACAGTGGAGAAGCTAGCAAAGACAGGACCCCCAGAGGGGTCTGCTAGGGAGACTACAACCGGCCGATTGAGCGGCGTAAGAGTGGTGCGGTCTCGAAAGAAGGAGCGGGATGCACCCGAGTCGAGGTTGAAGGTATGGAAGGCCTGAGCGGACGTAGTACATGAGAGAGCAGACTCACAAGCACGTGGGGCGGCAAACGCACTGGCACCTAGGGCAGCAGACGCACTAGTACCTAGAGCAGCAGCCTCACCAGCACCTAGAGCAGTAGCCTCAATGCCCGGGTCAGGCGGTACACACAGGTAACAGTCACCAGCAACACTAGTATCAACAGCATAAATGGCAGCAAGGATAGCATCAAAGTCAAGATCAAAGATAGCAGCCCCGGCCTTAGCCAGATCTCCCTAGCGAGGGATCTCTAACGCCTCAGGGAATTGGCGACGCCACGCGTCCGTCAAGCGACCAAAGCAGCGCTGGGTGGAGTGCGGGCCTCCACACTGCTCACCAGCGCGGTCCCCGGTACGGAGGACGTAAGAGCAGGGACCAAAACCCCCACCGCGCTGACGCGCAATGTACCACTCACGAAGCTGCTGAGGGGACAGGGTCACACCACTCCACTGCTGCTGCTGGCACTGACCACCACCGGCGCCACTCCTCTGCGCAGAGTCACGACTTGCTCCACCACCGCCGCCTCCGCCGCTGCCGCCGCCTCCGCCGCCTCCTCCACCTCCGCCTCCTCCACTACCTCCGCCGCCTCCGCTCCCTCCGCCACCTCCACCGCCTCCGCCGCCTCCACTGCTGCCGCCGCCGCCGCCACCCCCGGCACCACTCCCACCACCACCCCCACTCCCTCCACTGCCTCCACTACCACCTCCACCGCCCCCTCTAGCCCCTCCAGCGCCCTTGCCCCCCTTGCCCTTGCCGGTGCGGCGTCTCCCGCTCGGGGCAGACGCAGAGTCGACCGACTCGAAACTAACGAGGTCGACCGCAGCAGAAGAGGCAACAGAGGGCAAGAGGGTGGATGGAGAACACCCCTCAAATACGGGGGTGCGAGGGTCACCACGAGAGGCTCCTCTAGCGACTATGCTCTTCTCTATCGCTAGGAGGGCCTTCTTGAGGAGGTCAACGGTGAGAGTGGTGGGGCAAACTGAGAAGAAGTGGTCCGTGACTACACGGAGAGAGTCAGGGAGCCAGGTGACTATGTAGTAGAGGGTGATGTACATGGGGGGGGGGGGGTTCTTGGCGCAGAACTCAGCAGGAAGCGCAGCGCGGTAGCGAGTGTCACTAGTGCGGAGGTGCGTAATGAGGTCAGCGACTGTGGGAAAGGCACCAAGGTCAGGGAAGAGGTACCGTAGCATGAGGCGGCTCAGTGCAACAGTGGCAGGGGAAGAGTAGCGTGCAACTACAGCGTCGTACAAGGTCTGAGCACTCTTGTACTGGCTAAAGTGTGCACGCTCAGTGGTCGGTAAGTGGCGGCGCACAGCAAGGCGAGCAGCAGCATCGCGCGTGGCCCACTGTGAGCGAACAGTGGCATCAGCATCGGCAGTAGGGGCAGGGAAGGCACCAAAAGTGAGGTCAAACAGGGAGAGGCCGTCTACCCTATCGCACTGCAGGAAAAGCTGCAGATCATCTACCTAGACCTCAAAGTCCACTGCCGTACCCTCAGCGTCAATGGTGAGAACGCTAGGGGAGGCCATAACAGCAGTAGGGAGGTAGTGAGTACAGTGGGGCAGGGCAGTGCAGTGGCAGAGACGCTGCTATTACCAGGCAAGTGGGGCGGTCGGGCGACGCGGCGGCTCGGCGGTCGGGCAGCTCAGCTGCTCGGCGGCTCGGCGGTCGGGCGGCTCGGCTGCTCTGTGCTGGGCGGCTTGGCTTCTGGGCGGCTCGGCTGCTGGGCGGCTCGGCGGTCGGGCGGCTCGGCTGCTGGGCGGCTCGGCGGTCGGGCGGCTCAGCTGGCCGGCGGTTCGGCTGCTCGGCGGTGCGGGCACTGGGCGGCGGGGCCGCAGGTGGTGGCGAGGCCGCAGGTGGCAGCGAGGCCGCAGGTGGTGACGGGGCCGCAGGTGGCGGCGGGGCTGCAGGTGGCGACGTGGCTGTAGGTGGCGGTGGGGCTGCAGGTGTCGGCAGGGACGCAGGTGGCGACGGGGCCGCAGGTGGCGACGGGGCTGCAGGTGGCGACGGGGCCGCAGGTGGCGACGCGGCCGCAAAGGGGCCGTAGCGGGGCCGTAAAGGGGCCAGGCAGGGCCGTAGCAGGGCCGTAAAGGGGGGCCAGACGAGGTCACGGAGGGGCCTAGGCGGGGCCGCGGAGGGGCCGTAAGGGGCCAGAAAGAGCCGCGGAGGGGCCTAGGCGGGGCCGCAAAGGGGCCGTAAGAGGCCAGACGGGGCCGTAAAGGGGGCCAGACGGGGCCGCGTAGGGGCCTAGGCGGGGCCGCAGAGGGGCCGTAAGGGGCTAGACAGAGCCGCGGAGTGGCCTAGGCGGGGCCGCAAAGGGGGCCGTAAGGGGCCAGACGGGGCCGTAAAGGGGGCCAGACGGGGCCGCGGAGGGGCCTAGGCGGGGCCGCAAAGAGGCCGTAAGGGGCCAGACGGGGCCGCGGAGGGGGCCTAGGCGGGGCCGCGGAGGGGCCGTAAGGGGCCTAGGCGAGGTCGTAAGGGGCCGTAAGGGGCCAGACGGGGCCTAGGCGGGGCCACGGAGGGGCCATAAGGGGCCTAGGCGAGGCCACGAAGGGGCCGTAAGGGGCCTAGGCGGGGCCGTAAGGGGCACGACGGGGCCGCGGAGGGGCCTAGGCGGGGCCGCGACGGGGCCGTAAGGGGCCTAGGCGAGGTCGCGATGGGGCCGTAAGGGGCCTAAGCGAGGCCGTAAGGGGCCAGACGGGGCCGTAAGGGGCCGTAAGAGCGGCGCGAGGGGCCGTAGAAGGCGGCGCGAAGGGGGCGTAAGGGCGGCTCGAGGCGCTACTCGGGTTAGGAGCGAAGCGCGCTCCGGGCAGGGAAGGAAAAAAAAGTTCGTGGTGGGCCCTAGGCAGTATTCCCACTCGGGAACCTGCTCAATACCATGACAAGAAGTGAGAATGGATGAATGAACTATAAAACAGTTGGGTACAAGTACTAACCCTTATTGGGTTGTACCCCTTATGGGCTACCCCACTACAGCCTAAACAAATGTATAAGCTATAATGTTCTGACACACCCAAGTCAGCTGCCCCCAAGTTGACGTCACCAAGTTGATGTCCTCCACAGGTCGACTTCCCAGGTCGACCTCCCTGAAGTCGGCGCCACCCTGAAGTCGGCGCCCGTGCAGTGGTCCCCGTGCAGGTCGACCTCCTCGTCAACCAGCTAGCCCACTGCTGCAGGTCGGCTGCTCCCCTCACACCCGACCACGAAGTCGGCTCCGCCCAAGCGAGGACGAGGCCAACACACAACTCCCGTTGACATCAGCACCATCAACACCACCCACTCATCAGCACCATCAACACCACCCACTCCTCAGCACCATCAACACCACCCACTCATCAGCACCATCAACACCACCCACTCATCAGCACCATCAACACCACCCACTCATCAACACCATCAACACCAACCACTCATCAGCACCATCAACACCACCCGCTCATCAACATGAAATACAAGTTGTTCGTCATTGTCTTTTGGTGTTGGGGTCTCCCATGTAACGCTTATCCAGCCAGCGATTCCAAACCATGCAAACCTACACACCATTTCCAAACCCAACCTTCAGGCGTGGAAGGAAAACGGATGCATCTGCAAGTGGAGGGTCCACTATAGCGAATCTTAGCTACGAGCATGACAAGGCGGTTCACGGTATATCCAAGCATAGGAGGCCAATCATATGCCTTCAACGATGCGGGTTGTCGGCATTGATGGGGGGGAAGAACGAAGCGACAACTGCTGATGTTCTTTACTACTTCATGATGAAGGCCCGTACAGCGTACAAACGGCTAATGCGGGCTGCCAAAGAAGCAGGTAAGGGTGGAAAGTTGGTGACCAAGTCCTAGCATGGTCGTTTGTCCGTGATAGTTGAGCACTCTGATTGTTTTGCGCATCACAACGGCACTGGCAGCCAACCAATAATGGTTTAGATATACTCACTGTCACCGTTGTTCCGTGGGAGGAACACATGGGGGAAATGCATTGTGACGGCAGAGCTTCACCTTGAGGCATATGGGCGCCAGTTCGATGCACAGGCAAACAGTGGTATTCACGCCGTTACTGGGATGATGGAGAAGGCTGATCGCCCAATCGAGGGACTGGTTTACAACTTCCCGCCCTACAAAGAGGATACGAAGGGGAAAATACACCCTGTTCGCGGAAACGGTTGGGGTGGGACCCGAAGGGGTAAAGCCTTCGAGAGAGTGCGGAGACAAGGTGAGCAACAGCGTGGCGTTGGCACAAGAGTATGCTATTTTGGTCATACAACCATGCAGCATGCTTCAGACGGAGGCTTTGTGAATGCTGTACTGTTTATGAAGCGAAATGAACTGGAGTCCGCATATACTCGTAGAATGCAAGTGCGTGTATACCCTAATGATTCTGATACATGGCGTGTGCGCAGAGGTTGCCCAATCAACAAGAGCTGAAATATAAGGGGTTGCTCCAAGCCTGCAGCCTCATCCATGCACGATTGTTAGCACTGAAAGCAGCCAACAGCACGCAGTACTCCATGCAGCCGGCGTACTAGATCAAGCCCAAAGGTGAGACAGTGCGTAGAGAGCGTTGGTTGAATGAGGTGTAAAACTAGGGGTGGTATTGAATGAATAGGTGGGAAGTGAAGACATTCGAGCATGCACGCGCACTCACACACCCACACATGCCCGCACGCGTGCATGAGCTCATAAGAATACAGACACATGCACGCACCTGTGGCACAATGCAGCCCCATGCGCACGCACCTTTGGCACCATGCAGCCCCATGCGCACGCACCTTTGGCACCATGCAGTCACAAGCGCACGCACCTTTGGCGCACCATGCAGTCACAAGCGCACGCACCTTTGGCGCACCATGCAGTCACATGCACCTTTGGCACCATGCACCCACTACCGCCCTGGCGATTATGTCACACGCCCAGCATGTCACTTCACACGCCCAGCATGTCACTTCACACGCCCAGCATGTCACTTCACACACCCAGCATGTCACTTCACACGCCCAGCATGTCACTTCACACGCCCAACATGTCACTTCACACGCCCAGCATGTCACTTCACACGCCCAGCATGTCACTTCACACGCCCAGCATGTCACTTCACACGCCCAGCATGTCACTTCACACGCCCAGCATGTCACTTGACACGCTCAGCATGTCCCTGCACTGTGTCACAGCAATCAATTCTGGCCCATTGTAGCAACTCCACCCGCCTACTCTTCCCCTCCCTTCCGCCTTTCCACCTCCGCCCCATATGCCCCGCCTTGTGCCCTCCCATTGCGCCCTGCCTTGTGCCCTCCCATTGCGCCCTGCCTTGTGCCCTCCCATTGCGCCCTGCTTTGTGCCCTCCCATTGCGACCTGGATTGTGCCCTCCCATTGCGCCCTGCTTTGTGCCCTCCCATTGCGACCTGCTTTGTGCCCTCCCATTGCGACCTGGATTGTGCCCTCCCATTGCGCCCTGCTTTGTGCCCTCCCATTGCGACCTGGATTGTGCCCTCCTATTGCGCCCTGCTTTGTGCCCTCCCATTGCGCCCTGCCTTGTGCCCTCCCATTGCGCCCTGCCTTGTGCCCTCCCATTGCGCCCTGCCTTGTGCCTTCCCATTGCGCCCTGCCTTGTATTCTCCCATTGCGACCTGGATTGTGCCCTCCCAATGCGCCCTGCTTTGTGCCCTCCCATTGCGACCTGGATTGTGCCCTCCCATTGCGCCCTGCCTATGGGCCCTCCAGGAATACTCATCATGATGGGCCCCTCAAGGATACTCCAGTTCCAGTCCCGAGAGGGTGGCCACGTGCTCCAGCCGTCACGGACATGTCACCGTACATGGTATGTTTCTTGGAGCCAAGACACATGCTAGAAGCATTAGCACCACTGCGGATTAGTTGCACAAGAAAAGGTTGCGGCGGGAGCATGTCCCTCGTGTCATGGAAAACTACATGGGCTTCTCTTGGTCTGTATTGGCACTCAAGTACGTGCCCTAGCCGCACGGAGATATGGACAAGCCCGAAAAAAGAAAACGATCAGAATGGGAAGCGGACAGGGCCAAAGTATATACAAATTATGCAAAAGTTTGTGGGTGCGTTTGCCCTCAGAGGGTTAGGGTTTCAAGTGATGTGGGAAGTGTGTCGCAATCTTGGACTGCCAAATCCTGGAAAAGGCACATTTTACCGACTGTTGCAAGGTGAAAAGGGTTTGTGGAATGCCATCATTCGTGTAGCCCAAGAATCTATGGCATCAGTCCGTGATACCCTCAGTAAGAGGGATGGAGGGGTGGGATACATTAGTGCGGATGGCAGATTTTCACAAGCTCGAGAGGCTGAGTATTGCACTGTGTCGTTTCTGCATCCCAAGAGTAGGAAAGTTTTGCACACTGAGACCGCGATGAAGTATGTCAATGATCCATCGTCTCCTAGGCTAGAAAGCATTGCCTTCAATTTGGGCATGGACTTCTTCAAGAACGTGGGGTTTGAAGTGGCTGGTATTGTTACAGATGAGGGTAGTACCTTTCGGACCGTGGCTGCGGACAGAGGGATTGAATACCAGCACAATTGGTGGCACAAAAGGCGATCTGTGGTCAAAACGACTTGCAAGATCGTGTGAGGGAAGTGGTCGAAATTGATAAGGCGAAGGTTGTAGAGGACCTGCATATGCATACAGTCGTGAAGCTAAGAGGGTGGTTGCAGAAGAAGGCCCCAACCAAGGTGGGTGGGTCCAATGGAAAAGACAAACTGATCGAGGACATTTGCTCTGAGCTCGGCACTGAGTACCGGTTTGTGGATCCGGCAGATGCAAAATGGGAACATCCTGAATTGCAGCAGGTCGTGAGTGCCACAAACATGCAAGCTGCTGGTCAAGGTGTGGGGGACTTAGAGGAGCGGGATGATGAGGAGGCAGTGGACAAAGTGGATATACCTGTTATGCTTTCGCTAATACATAGTCGAGGCATGGGCCGTCATCAAGATGGGCCGGAAGAGGGTGGGGATACAGTGGAAATGCTAGAAGGACCGGTGAGGGTGGATGTCTCTTGGCCGGATGTGGAAGAATTATGGCGATATGACATCCACTTACCACCTCTTGAGCCCCTCACATAGCTCATTACCACCATTTCTGCCCCACACATAGCTCATCTTCACCACTCCAGTCACACACACACCTCATTTCCAGCACTCCAGCCCCATTCAAAACTCATCATCACCACTCCGCTCTCTCACACAGCTCGTCTTCACCACCACTCTGCTCCACACACCCCTCACTACCACCATCCCAGCCACACACACCTCATTTCCACCACACCAGCCCTATTCATAGCTCATTGTAACCACTCAGCCCCTCACACAGCTCATCTTCACCACAGCTGCCCCATACACATTTCATTACCATCACTACTGCCCCACACACATCCACTTACCACCTCTTGAGCCCCTCACATAGCTCATTACCACCATTACTGCCCCACACACACCTCATCTCCACCACTCCAGCCTCATTCATAGCTCATTATCACGTTGATGCACATGGCAAGTGTGGTTTGCTGTACCACGGCACACAATCACTCGCTTATGCCCTGATGCTGATTCATTGGGGACTTGCAGGAGAGCAATCTGCCATTTCCACCATCAAGAGCAAGGAGCAGCGACGGTGGTCAAAACGTACCTCAAAGAAGTGGGCACGTGGGGAAGGTGCCAATGCGACCCTTGCTGGAGAGAGCGATGGAAGCAAAAAGCCGGTGTTCACTCATGGTCAACGCTTCAGCGTGCATTTCAAGCACTGCATGATGCGGAATGCCACCAAAGCCAGTGAGGGAGATCCAATGACGCCAGAGCAGGTGTCTGAGGAGTTGGGGCTTGCTGCAGATCATTGGGCAGGTGACCATACACGCTGCGCACGTGTGGGAACAATGCCTCCACGCTGTATTTCTGAAGGGTGGGGGGAAGAGAGTGCTGTATACGCTTTTGGATCACCAACCCACTTGGCTGTTCGTGAGTGGTTCAGAACACGGCTAGGGCCAACTCAGGTAGCATCATTGACTCTTGGCGCAAACAGCTCACTGAACGAGTCCTTCCACCCACTTGTTTGCAAGTATGCTCCCAAGTGCCTGCGGTTCAGAGGCAGTATGGAGGCAGCATAGCCTTGGCCGTGCTGCATTGGAACAGCTGCATGGACCGGCTCGTCAAGGCATACCGCATCCGGGTGCGGAAATTGACGCGTGTGCAGAGGGGCTGAAAGGAAAGGATATTAGGACCTATGGACTGGTCATGGGTGGACAACATTATGCGGGAATGGTTGGCACAAGGTGCAGCGGATGTTGGGGAGTCTGAGAGGAACGGAGAGGGAGAGGGTGTCGATGGTGTTGACTTGGAGGAACGAAGTGAGCACACCCGTGCGCAGCGCCAACGCACCTTGACCGGACCCTCCAGCACCGTTTCAGTTGAGCCTGAAGGCAGCATCCCGATCATGACCACTGACCTCGTATTTTCGCCTGGATGCCAGGGCAGCACGACTCGGTCTGGTGCACCCAAACACAAGAAGCGACCTACACCAGCCCGTCGCTGCTTGCTGGGTTCGTTGTCGTGCTTCCAAAACGCATTTGCTAATTCCTGTGCCACGTCAAGTAGTGGCACAACTTATGTGCATCAATGCCTT